AATCGATTGGCCATCAATTTTAATTTTTTTAGGGCTTGGAAACCAGGTTTTTCTAAGCCAATATTCAAGCCATTTATCTACATACAGAGTTGAAACCACACTATCCCAATGTGTATTGACCATCATGGAGCAAAAATTCCCAAAATTCTGACGAAAAATGGTTACTGGGAGGGCCCTGGGCTGATTTTTAGGGTACCACCAGGAAAATAAAGGACTCATCTCGGGGCTTGTTTCTGCAGTTTTAAAAGCCCGAAGTATGAAATACTGACTCAAATGTGCTAATGTGGAGCAGCACTAGTATGTGTCAATATCACAAAGATTGCCTTATTCAGAATATTTCCAGTTTAGCTGCCATGAAATCGCAATTTAATGATGCCTTGAACTCACCTCTAGTATACAGTGCATGGCCGGTAGCACACACGGCGTCTCTTGCCTTGCATACGAACTGAAATCTGTCTTCCGTGGTATTTTGGTGTGTCCAGTAGCCAGGGGCGAAAAACCAGGGTACAGAAGGATAGAAACAGCGAACACACACAGTTGCGCTCACTCAAACTGGCCGGTTATAAGACCGTAGAGTTCAAGCTCCTCGGTTTCGGTTGACTCCTTTTCAGATTCTACAAGGCCAAATCTACCCTGGGGGCGTGACAACGAACCGCTATTTTGAAAAAGAATGTAGGCAGAGGATAGTGTAATTTATACTGTTTTACACTGTTTTACATTTAGTGTGTCCTATTTTGGAATAAAACTGACAGCATGGCATGAAAATCGATTGCCCATTAATTCTAACTCACCTCTAGGAGTATACACAGCATGACCGGTAGCACGCCCAGCGTCTCTTGGATACGAACTGAAATCTCTCTTCCGTGGTATTTAGTGTGTCCAGTAGCCAGGGGCGCAAAAACCAGGGTACAGTAGGATAGAAATAGCGAACACACAGAGTTGTGCTCGCTCAAACTAGCCGATTATAAGACTGTAGAGTTCAAGCTCCTTGGTTTCGGTTGACTCCTTTTCAGATTCTACAAGGCCAAATCTACCCTGGGGGCGTGACAACGAACCGCTATTTTAAAAAAGAATGTAGGCAGAGAATAGTGTAATTTATACTGTTTTACACTGTTTTGCATTTAGTGTGTACTATTTTGGAATAAAAATGACTGTATGACATGAAAATCGATTGCCCATTAATTCTAACTCACCTCTAGGAGTATATATACAGCATGACCGGTAGCACACCCGGCGTCCCTTGGATACGACTGACTGAAATCTCTCTTCCGTGGTATCTGGTGTGTCCAGTAGCCAGGGGCGTAAAACCAGGATACAGTAGGGTAGAAATAGCGAACACACACAGTTGTGCTCACTCAAACTGGCCGAGTATAACACTGTACAGGGAAGGGAAGGAAAATACGACCACAACATGGCCGCCCGGCTGCCACCATTTCGTAGCCGGTGTCATTTGCATGAGCAAGACTGAATAGAGTTGAAAGGAGGCGCTAGGGGATACACGGATGCCATGTCAGAGGCCGTGTAAGGGGTGTTTCGACGGCGTGAGTTGTTCAATAATTTCTATCGCAGTGAGCAGCTGTGAGTAAAAATGGTTGCCGCTTTCGAGTTCAAATAAACTAAATGGCAACTTGCAATATTTACAGTTTTTTTTACAGGAGAATTATTATTATTATTAGTGGGTATTTGTTCTAATCTGATGACCGTTGAGACCCTTTTTGACCCAGCTGTGCATGTTACCTGACACATGGCATGGCACGTGCACACACACCTGTCATATGCACATATCCTGTCATCCCTAGGGCGCGACGGGGGGTGTTAGTCTATTAGCCGAAACAACAAAGACGTCTTACTGTGTCGTCCCAATGAATAGTTAATATCTCCAAGCAGACGTTTGGAGGGAAATCCGAACCTTTTCTGACTGCCAATTACTTTAAGGACACACTATCCTTTTTTACAGACGTCTAGACGTTGTGGCTCTTTGTTTTACATAAAGGGGCTGGTCGGGAAACGTAATACGAACCCCTCCCAACAATATTTGCCTTGTAGTGTAAATAGCAGCCTTTCAGTCATCCCTTGTGAGCCGGTCGAAGTCTATTGTTGTACGAGCGTACAAGAATATATATTAGGCCACAGCAAGTAATCTTTATGGATGACATCAGCGTGCACATTAATTTTCGCCTGATTTTGGGGGGGGGATTTTTTTTTTTTTTGCCTTCTGACAGTGGTCAACATGCTATATGCCGAAAATGGACAAAGATGTCTGTTGCCATGCCGGAAGGTGGATGGCAGATATCTATGAAGAGAGGAGACAAGAAAAGGCTTTGATTTAATGTCTTGTTTCTTACCTTGATGCAGTGGTCTGTGATGCTGGCTGTGTATATGTGATGTTCCCACTGAATCAATTGCAAAACCTTTTGTACAATGATGGAGTCAAAATTTTAAAATGTAGGAACCTTGGTTATTTTGGCCCGCTTTTTTTTCGCCCGCTCGAATTAGATTTGGAGTCTGCGAAGGATGTCTTCCATAAAATTTACTTGCTGTGGCCTTTATTAGATCGCAATGTTTGAAACATTTTGAAACATTTCGGATGGCGCAGCGGAACAGTAGCCAACCTGGCCGAACACCAGCCGATCTTGCTCCCGACCTATACATGGTTGGGGGGAATTCAGCTAGTGTTTTTATTATTCCATCATTTAACACAAGGCATGGTGACGGCACACTCAAGTTTTTCTCCTTATTTTTATGCCACCACCAACGCAGAGAACAAACGCATGAACGGACAAATGCATACTGATTTTTACCCGGGCCAAGTGAGGAAAGTCGTGCAAAGTGCCTTTCCCAAGGGCATAAGGTCGGTGACATGTCAGGATTTGAACTCGGGGGCTCTTGGTCCCTAGCCAAACGCTTTGTCATCCAGGAGGCCATATTCGGCTATATGTAGCCTCCTTCGCAGTCTTGTTGGGCGTCGGCGTTATTTTTTTCTGTGAGCGACGCGAGTAATATGCCGCCGCGAGGGACGGTTTGTGCTGCCGAGGGAGTTTTTGCCGCGGAGAGAAGGATTCGCGCTCCAACAATTCGGCAGCAAATCGTCCCTCGCGGCGGCATATTACTCACGTCGCTCAGAGAAAAAATAACGCCGACACCCAACAAGACTGCGAAGGAGACTAGCATTTTCTAAATAATCAAAGTCAATACCAATGTCTTTAACCAAAGAGTCAGGGGCTTAAAGTATGCGAAAACGAAAAAAAAAAGTTGACAATATTGTTCACGTAGCTGCTGCAATTTTATTTTGAAATATCCAGTTTCACAGAGCGAAAATTATTATGAAGACATCTTGTAGTTGTATTATGTTGATTAACAATACATTTTTATGTTTCTGGTAATCTATTTGTATGTCTCCATGCATTACTCGAGTAATACATCAGTTTATGTCACTGGTGAATATGTAAATGTACTAATGAGGATGGTATTCAGTCATGTCTTACGCTGAGCTAGCCTGGAATCCATATGTTTTCAAACTATTTGCCGGGTGGCGGTGACTTCTAGAACCGGCAAATAGCTAGTAAAGGCTGCATTCCAGGCTACGTTTAGGGACCCTACGGTATTTACCGGGGGGGGGAGGCCGGTGCGTACGGGGGGAGGCCAAGGAAAATGAGAAGGGGCGGGGGAGGGCCAAGGAAAATAAGAGAAGGCGGGGGGAGGGCCAAGGAAAACTTTTTATCACAATTCTTATACCTTTTCAATGCTTTGAGAAGTAGGAAAGTACACGCTATATGTCCTTGGCAGCCGGTCACGGAACCGAAAATGCGTGTGTGCCTTCGCCCGAAATTGGTCGCCCCCGAGTATGATTGGTTTCTTCCATATCTTCCATAACTCTGTTCGCCAAAATAACGTCGTCGGTACAAAATGTCGGTACAAAATCCCCGACATTTTCGTTCAGCCAAAAACGCAGCAACCTTCGTGAGCGTAGCAAAGTGCACCAGAGGATACGTGTGTCTTTGCAGAACCTTGATGCGAGTGACACGTTGGACAAGTTGCATGAACGAGTGGACAGCACGACGTCAGATTTTGTCGAGCGAAAATACTCCGGCCTGGCTTCTGTGCGTTCCCCGCGATCGGAAAATGATTTAACTGATCCGGTCTATAAAGAGGCGGCATTTCTTTTTGTATTTGGTTCTTTTTTTTCGCTAACTTAGATGCATCGCGAACTCTTTATTTGCCCCGTTCCGTGAAATTTTAGTCGTCCAAAACATAGATGCATTTTCAATATTCTATTTTCTCGGTCGTAAAATGTACCAACAGGCACATGAATGTACTGAAAACATCAGTATTACTTCGTTGCTTATTTGCTCAGAAATGACTCTAAAACACACCAGAGAGACTCTCAATTTTAAAAATTTTCTGGGGGAGGCCCCCCAAACCCCCCCAAACGGAGACGGGGGGGCTTCCCCCCCTCTCGTGCTCTCTCCCCCGCGCAGCGCTGACGCGCAGCGCTAGCTTACGTGGCCTTCGGCCACGTCAGGTGGTGCGCCCCCCCCGTTCACAAATTTCTGGATCCGCGGATGAAACCAGCCTGTGGGTCGGTTGGTAGTATTAAAAAAGACTATGCATAGAGTCTTATTTGGTCTGAATACTGCCTATCGAGAACAACGCCGACCCAACAAACCGCCAGGTATTTTAAAAGCCAATCCCCGTCCGCGCAAATTTGACGGGAGCTTCCCACGGAATATTTCACTTCGTCGCGTGCCGCACTTAAATATCATATCAAACTATTAATGAATTATTATTGATTGTTGATAGTATTAATTAGGATGTAGTTTCAGGGGCATTTGTAATGTTTCAGAAGGGGGGGGGGGAGGGCCAAGGAAAGTTTTTCTTTATAGCGGGGGGAGGGCCAGGGAAAAAAAATAAATACGGGGGGGAGGGCCAGGGAAAACCTTTTCTGCCCGATTTCCTACGCACCGGCCCTCCCCCCCGATAAATAACGTACGGTCCCTTAGTGTTTACAAGCAGCCTTTCATGTACCGCGCCTACGCACGGCCTTCTACTCGGCACTTCGGCGTTTCCTCCCCCGGCCGCCCTTCCACAGCACGCCGGACGCCACCCCGAGCCTGTTCCTGAACTTGTTGCCCAGCCAGACCTTGGCAGCGGAGGGGTTCTTGTCACTCCACTCGTCGTACGTCTTCAGTTCCTACAGGGCAAAAGGAATCGAATGGTTTATAGAAATTTGTGAAATAATTTTTTGTTTCATTTCTTGTCGTTTTGTACCTATCTAACTAGAAAGGTAATCTTTGCAATGTGAATACATAATGTTTACCTTCGCATATGGGCTGCTCTGTTAATTCTTACTCAAACACATTCATATATGTATGGTCAGACAAGAGTCTAAATCCTTCGTACTATAAAATTGCAACATGATGTACTAGTAACCAAACACTAGTTACCATGGAGACAGACGTCTGGTTCAGGTCATTGAACTTATTGGTTTGGAGAAGAAGAGGAGGAAACAAGATGTTTTCCTTCGGTGAACATAAGAAGAAAAAAACTAATTTTTGAGGCAATATTGAAGCCTTGAAGATAATAATCACGCTTCATTTTTCTCCAATTTAAGCCACCCACAATTCAGCAAAATTCATTCCCCAGTCCTCTTAAGCCTAGCAAAAAATGTGTTTTATCCTGTTTCCCGACCGACCCCAGCAGGCCAGAAAAACCCGTCGAACGAAGCCTTTTTGTGAGGGCGCCCCTGCAAGGGATTTAATGTTTTACTTTGTCAAACTGTGTTGTATGATATACGTTGGATCACTGTGTAGAGATCGCCGAGTCTATCAAGACGAAAAAGAAAAAAAAAAGATAATCTTTATCGGCACCTACCGACCCTAATTTTTTCAGGACTGAAACAGGAAACACATTTTTCCTATTAGGCCTTACCCCTCCCTATATCTGTACCAGTATTTTGGTACGTACCAGTTCCCTGGCTTGGTCCTCCGGAATGCAGCTTCCCTCCTGGTTGTAGATTTCCTTCCACCTCAGATGGCGGAAGACCTGACACGTGAAGCCGTCTTCGCAGTCGCAGGTCTCCTTGCGCATGATCTTGTAGGGGTGACACAGACCCTTCGTAATAATCGGCCTGCACCGCTTGTACTTCGTGCAACACTCGCTAGAGGCGCAGTCGTCGTCGGCGCCACAGGGAGTGCCCTCCAGCTCCGGCCTGGGTAGGCTGTTATACTTGTTCAGGTAGGCCTTGTTGAAGAACATCCCCTCAACGGCCTGTAAATTAGTCACAAAGATATAACTTTTCAGTCCTATTATAGAAATGAAATGAAAAACCTTTATTGTACATTAATGCCACGACGGGCTAGGTACAGGTCAAAACAGACACATAACAAACGTATATAGAAAATTGGAGACAAAAGTACACTACTTGACTTAGACGTACATTCATAAGGAACATACAAGGATACTATACTAGGCTAATACAAAGTGTTCTAGTTGCTGAGATAATACAGAGTGGTCAACTTCTTCTCGCTTTTTTGTACAATGGAAAATGTGGGAACAGATCATGTTTGTGATACCGGGTTTGTCTAGACGCATCGAAAATATAAATTTATCGTTTGCATTTAGGTGTTCAAAGTATGGGAACTTATAGATAGACCACCCGCGATACGATGTAGGTACGCTCACAATTATATATCATGAATTTTATGTTGAAGAAACAATAAGGTACGCTGTATGATAAATGTCAAGCCAATGCTAGCCACACAAACATGGTCATCCTTTTTTTCAAAACGGAAATACAACCATTTAGCCTCGATGAAAAGCATAAAACACCTAACCTAAACTTCTGCTTGGGGTGTAGTAGCCAGCGACAAGATAGTAAGAAAGTTGAAGCAGTTTTAGCCCTCATTTCGACTGGTCGTAACAGGGAAGATAAACGTAATGTACAGTATTTACAGGTATTTACAGTATTTACAGGTTATACCAGGGAAATTCCCCTAGATCTTTTCGACAAGCACAATGAACCAGGAGAGCCTTCGGTAACTACGGAGGATAGTACCCAGGCTAACTAGACTCACCATGCCGGCCATGACGACAAAGATGACCACAACAAGAAGACGTTTCATCGTCTTCATGTTGTACACTTCACGTTTCCACTCGATAGGACCACTGCTGGGCGAGAATAGACAAGAAATCACTCCTATAGGCCTTCAGTCCTCGATGTGTTATGTTACGTACAGTTTGCTCAGTTCACTCTGTTCTAGAATCTAAACGTTTGTGTTCTTTATCCATGGTTTCGGAACACGGTTTATTTCGAACAAAAGAATACTGTTGTTGCCATGGCATGCCGTTCCAAATGTTCTGTTTTTAGGGAGTGTTTGTCGTGTTGTGTTGTGTTGTGTTGTATTGTATTGTTTGTGTAGTCTTGTATTGTGTTGTGTTGTGTAGTGTTGCGCTGTGTAGTGTAGTGTTGTGTTGTCTTGTGTAGTGTAGTGTTGTGTTGTGTTGTGTTTCGTAGTGTAGTGTATTAGTGTTGTGTTCTGTAGTGTAGTGTAGTGTAGTGCTGTGTTGTGTAGTGTTATGTTGTGTCGTGTTGTGTAGGGTAGTGTTGTGTTGTGTTCTGTAGTGTTGTTTTGTGTAGTGTTGTGTTCTGTAGTGTTGTGTTGTGTGGTGTTGTGTTGTGTAGTGTTGCGTTGTGTTGTGTTGTGTAGTGTTGTGTTGTGTTGTATTGTGTAGTGTTGTGTTGTGTAGTGTTGTGTTGTGTTGTATTGTGTAGTGTTGTGTTGTGTAGTGTTGTGTTGTGTTGTATTGTGTAGTGTTGTGTTGTGTAGTGTTGCGTTGTGTTGTGTTGTGTTGTGTTGTGTTGTGTTGTGTAGTGTTGTGTTGTGTTGTGTTGTGTTGTGTTGCGTTGTATTGTGTAGTGTTGTGTTGTGTTGTGTTGTGTAGTGTTGCGTTGTGTTGTGTAGTGTTGTGTTGCGTTGTGTTGTGTAGTGTTGTGTTGTGTTGTGTAGTGTTGTGTTGTGTTGTGTAGTGTTGTGTTGTTGTGTTATGCTGTGTTGTGTTGCGTTGCGTTCAAGACAGATTCGTAGAAGAGACTTGCAAATAACCGACGACGGTGCGAAGGTAAACATTATTTTCTTTTTTTGGTTACACATGGATTTGCTTGATTTATGGTTTGCAGGTAGGTCGTGACATGTGAATGGAATTGTGAAGGCTTCTATCAAAAATTCGGATTTGAATGATCATGGAATTTATTTGAAGTGAGGTCCTCTATCATAGTAGCCTGGGTTCCATCGCCCCCTAGCTTACAACAGTGGTAAGCTAGCGACATTATTGAGCGGGCGAATACTACTGGGGATGGCACCCAGGCTACCTCTATCAAAGGTCCTATTCTAAAATTACAGATGTTAGGTTTTGCCGAACCAGACGAAGTGCAACATTTCAAAGTCCAATATTGTTTTTTCAGTCTTCCAAATAGTGATGTAATATACAATTCTGTATTTCGCTCAATAAAAAAGCAACGGTCAATTCTCAGGGGAATGCGCTGAGTCTGATATACATTATTACCCGCTTACCAATCATATTTGTACCTAACAATGTGTGTTTCTATGTTTAACAGTCAGTAGCTAGCATTGGAACTTAGTACATCGGGACATCTTTCAATTTTAGACTTCTACGTCACAGAAGACATATAAGAAACTCAGTCTTGGGGTTTTCTTAACTCCAGAAAACAGAGACCTGACCCGTCTTGTTGCAGTACGCACATGCGCCCTGAGTCCGAGAGAGAAAAGTCGTTAATCTCATGTTCAAACGTGAAGCTGCACAGGTGGAGAATCTCGTTCCCAGGATTTACTGACCATATATGGACGGTGTTGCTCTCGTCTGCTGAGGCTACGAGTTCACCGTTATCAGTCGAGGTCAAGGAGGTCACTCGCGGTCGTTGACCTTGAGCTGTATGTTGTGGTACTACGAATCTTCCGTTTACCTCGTAAGATTTGGAGTTCCCAACAACACAGTTGTCTGTGTATCTGTGTCCACTGATTTTGCAATTCACAGACGAATGTGTACCAATCAGTTGTTTGATATTACCATTTTTGGCATCCCATATAATGAGTTTTTCATCTTCAGCTGATATCACAAACGGCACTGGACGGGTACAGATCACACTGTTGTTGGACGATAGGATTCTCTTTGTGCGTGACAGTTGTTGACTTGTGAAGATCTTCTCACCAGTGGGGAGCTTCCAACAGGTGTAGGCTCCTCCCACGTGACTACACATAACCGTTAGACCGTCTGACGTCACGCCTAGACCGTTCAAGCTGCCTTGGTCAGTGGCAATCTCTCGGGTAGAATTTTCGTCGTCTTTCATGGTGTAAACGCGCAGTTTTCCGTCGTCAGACCCGCTAACAAAGTAAGCACCCGAAGTGAAGGCAGCTAGATAGCGTGGTGCTGGCACGGTGGGCGGTAGAGTCCATACGCGGAGAGGGGAGGGGGTCTCGTGATCTGTGAACCCCCACGATTTAATGGTACCGTCCAGTGACGCAGTGATAACCGTGATGTCGTCATCAGATTTGGTGGTGTAGTCGATTGACGTCACGGCTTCGTGGTGCCCCTCCCAACACGTGACCCTGTGCCGCTCCCTCAGGTCCCACACCGCCACGGTCCCTCCTCTGCAGCCCGATACAACCATCGAGTCCGCGGGGCGACAGAAGCAGCTAATCCCGTCATGCTGGGCACCGAGCAACTGGAAACGGTCGCCCGGGTTTCGGGCCGCCCCGGCGCCGCCAGGCTCCCACAGCTTTACCGCTCCGTCCACGTCCCCGGTCAGAAACATCATCTGGTTTGTCGCAATGATAGCACTTATTTCCACACCAAGTCCTGGATCTGAAGAGACATCGTGCGGACTGATGCAGTACTGCGGCTCCACCTGACCGGACAGATCACACACGGTGAGGGTACCGGCTACAGAACCCGCTATGAGAAACCTGCCGTCCTGCGTCACAGCCAAAGCGCTAACACGAGCGACATGCCCACTGTAATATCGACACTCCTGACCGACTTCGTCGACTACAACGTAATCCGAACTGTCAGGGTCTCCACTGACGACCTTACACTGATCGGGCAGAACCAACACGGGACTCGGTGGCGTGTCTACCCTCGGGCCGGCAACTTTGTTGACCGTTCCGTCGCCTCCCAGCGTCCAAGCGTACAGGACGTTTAACGCTGTACAAGCCATGACACGTCCCTCAATCATACATACAGACACAACGCCAAAGCTATCGAGTGCAAAAGTATGCAGTTTTGCCCCTCCAGACGTATCCCACAGAATCACCTGTTTGTCCCTGGCACCGGACACGAATCGTTTGCAGTCTTCTGTGATGTAGACAGATTGAATAGCACCGAGGTGCTCCCGACTAGTCCATTTCCTTCCCAGAGAGACGACGTCCCATACGCCAAGTTCTGCGTTCTGAAATCCCACCACAACGACGTCGTTGTCGCGAGACAGTCGTACAACTGAGACCGAACCTTGGCCCACGACAAGGGTACTCTGAAATTGCCCAGTCTCGGCGTTCCACGTGCTCAAATTCCCATCGTCTGTCCCTGTCAGGGCGAGCTTTCCATCTCTAGATATCGTAGTGCAGACGACTTTGTTGTCCATCTCTGAAGCGTTTCGAATAAGTTCAGGACTAGAATAATCTATCCGCCAAATATTGCACTTATTATCACTGTTATTACATGATATGAGTCTTAGTTCATCGGCGACTTCTACCAGTAAAGCGCACGTGCAGTGATCTTTCAGTGTGCAGACGACATGTCCTGTATGTAGATTCCACAGTTTGGCACATCGATCAGCAGCGCCGCCTAGCGACAGAAGCGTGGTATCGTCAGGCGCCAGGGATATGGCGGCCACGGGCCCGCCTGGGTTGACCAGCGTTCTGACGAGAAGGGATCTTTCGGTGTTCCAAAGAGCTATGATGTTGTCGTCTGCACATGAGATGAGATACGCGTCGTTTTTTGTCACGGTGACACAGCGGACGACGTCCCGGTGGCCTCTGAGCGTCCCGACACGTTTTGTGGGGTCTTTCTCCTGCAGGTCCCAAATCTTGATCAACGAATCTGCAGCACAAGTCGCCACCCTGTTGCTACAGTGAAAGAAACAGAGGCCAGTGACCTGACTGCTGTGCGCGGCGATGTCTTTCCGAACGTTCCATGAACTACCGTAAGAGGAAAGAGAACGCGTTCTTGTTGGAGTTTTGTGTACCGATAGCTTCGAAACGGACGGTATCTGAACGGTGTCCTCCCAAACCTTCAGTACTCCGTCGTGTGAACACGAGACTAGTCCCCTCCCGTCTAGAGTGAACGCTACTCCAGTTACCCCTGCCTGGTGGCCGGTCAGAGTGGCGGAGAGTTCGAGCCTGTTCGTGTCCCACAGTTTGATGGTGCAGTCACACGACGCCGAGGCGAGCAGCCTGTCGTCCTTTCTCAGGTGCAGGGCGCACACCTGGCCGCGGTGACCGCGTAGAACGCCGAGGTCCCTCCCTGAGCCAAGCTCCCATGCCCGCACCGTGAAGTCTCTGCAGCCCGTGAAGACGCGCCGCCTGTCGGGAAAATTCGTCACTGCAACACACAGCACTTTGTCCCTGTGCCCGCAGTAGGACCGAACTAAACACCCTCCCGGGCGACGCAGGCAAGCTGACGATGGATACAAGGCGGCATCACTCCTCGGTTCCTCCCGCATCTCATAGACCAGCTTCTGTATACGAGGATGAGACGATTCAGACAGTCTACCCAGGAACTGTCCTTCAAACTGAGACTTGTCTTTGGCAAGAACTCGGCCCGAAAGACGGATTGTATCCAGCACCTCTTGTATAGGAGAGGCAAAGGGCGTCAACGCTTTCAGATCCTTAAAATCAGACAATAACGACGTTACGTCAGTGTGTTCCAGCCTGGCTTTCAGCCACCGATACGACGTCAGAATATTGACAAGTGTGCTGGTCCAACCCGCCCTGACGAAGTGATGCGCGGCGTTTTGAAAGTAGTACCCGTCCTGTAGACACTCCGCCCATGTCCCCCCTCCCACCTCACGGCAAGACTCCAGAAGATCTCTGTGCAGCTGAGATTCCGGTTCTTTCAACTTCGCCTTCACATAACTGAGTACAGAAGCGTTGAAGCGGTAACTGAAATGTTTACCTCCCCTTTGAACGAAAGATCGGCTATGCAGCTGATACAGGGCACCCCGAGCGCTACTTTCTGATACGTTCCTCCGGTACTTCCAAAACACTACCAGCGTAGTGAGAGGGATGTCTCTTTCCGGTATGAATACACAACAATCAATGAGACAATGCCGCACAGTCTCACCTCTGAGGGAGTCATAACTAACATTGAGCGCTTTCCCTAATGTCTTACTAGTGTAGGGATCATTCTCAGTTTCTTTAAGATCTCTGGCAGTTCCCTTCCACCACTCGGGGTCTTTCGGGTTCCAAACGCTCGACCCGACCAGAGCAGTCGCCGCGGGTAGGTAGTTACACTCCTGTACTATCGCTGCCACCGCCTCGGCTCTCGGGTCGCCCTGTTTTAGCTCTCCGTGAAGACCCGCACTCCGTAGGAGCAGGAGTTCGGCCGCGGGCCCGGGTAAGCCGCCCAGTACGTGCACGTTTGCCGGCGGCACGTGGAGCCTCGCTAACACCTCCTGGTTTCTACACGTTACCAACGTCACGCATTCTCCCGCCAGACAACAGACGACGTCGGTAACGTCTGCCACGTCCTGGACGTCGTCCAAAACGACGACGTAGTCCTTGTCTGCCGTGAAGCTCGTGAGAAAGTTGACTACGTCGGAGAGTTCAGGGAAGAAAAGTTGCCGGCCTGTCATGGAGGTTGTCAGACGTGTGAGGTGCTGTAGAACGTCCGGGCGCACACCTAGAGTCATCCAGAAAACCTGAGGATAGAAGAGAAGGATCGTCATACGTTTGCGAGAAATCAGTTGTATAGAGTTTGTTACGGATAGTCCTATAACACAAGTTGTAGGGCTTTGTGTTTTACATAGCCCAATCAGCACCAAGGACAGGAACCGCTTGTCAACTGTTTATTGTAACGACTGCCATGTGAGGATCCTAGTATACTCTCACTTTGCATGAAGAAAATAAGTTTCAAAGGGTTGCTTAACTTGCTTCCACTTAACCCCACAACAAAAAATAGTTCTCCTACGTTTTACATAGTCCATTCAGAACCAAGGACAGGAACTATCTGTCAAGCGTTGTTTATTGTAACGATCGTCATGTAAGGATCTTTATGCCCTCGTACATTGAAAGTTGAAAATAAGTTGTTTTTTATTCCAACTTTTTATTCCAACATTTCATGACCAAACATGGCGACGGCACACTCAAGTTATATAAACTTATTTTATGCCGCCACCAACACAGAGTACAAATACAGGACAGGACAATACTCATTTTCACTTATTTTTTTAAGTGAGGAAAGTCGTGTTAAGTGTCTTTCCCAAGGGCACAAGATCGTTGGCATGTAAGGACCCCGGACCTCTTGGTTCCGAGTCGCAGCACTCTGCCGCTACGCCACACGACCCCACAAAAATGAATAAGTTGTAAAGAGTTGGTTCCAGATACCCCTACAACACAAGATAGTTCTCCTACGTTTTACATAGCCTAGTCAGCACCAAGGACAGGTGCTATCTGTCAACTGTTATTGTAACGACTGTCGTGTAAAGATCCTTAGCTTCTGCTACCATACATTGCAGAAAATAAGTTATAAACAGTTGGTCTGAAATAGTCACAACACAAGTTTGTTTTCCTGAGTTTTACATAGCCCAATCAGCACCACGGACAGCGACTGTCCAACGTTCATTGTAACGACAGCCGCGATTGGCTGAAAGCAAAATCAGTATTGAACCAATCAAAGCCAGGGAAATATGATCCCTCTAGGAAATAGTATACATGTTACTTTTTAACAGCATCAAACTGTTCTCCAACTCAAGAAAAAAATTCGACCGAATCTCTTCACTAGCTATATGTGACGGGGGGCGGTACCAACTTCCGACGAACTTGCTGACGTCACACATGTGGAAAAATCACGTGTCCACAGCACTTGGGTCAGATAGCTGACGAAGGTCGAAAATTCCGGTGAGTCATTTTTTGAGTTGGAGAACAGTTTGATATTCTTTTGATAATATATAATTTTATAATTACCAACTCGGATGAATTTTCATGCTAAGGCTACACCTATTTAATTTGTTGTTTCTCGGATTCGCCCTGTCCATTTTTTTTCTGATTTGCAAAAAAAAAAACATTTTTGGTCCTAAATCAACTGCAAAATGCTCAATGAAAGACATATTTTGGCCCCAACGGTTGAAGAAAGTCCTTTTCTTCCTAGTTCTTGAAGTTTTTCAATGTAACAATGCAATTTCGTTTCATTGAAAGTTCAAAATCTATTGTTTTAATTATAAACCAGCCTGGTATGTTCACTTTATGGCTCATATTGTAACATTTCTGGCTATCATGGGGTGCCTTGGCCTTTTTTTTTCTTTTTTTGTTGCCCTGTCGCTTCATATTTTTTCTGAAAAAATCCGAGAAACAACAAATTAAATTGGTGTGGCCTAATGGTACCTTTTTGTTGAGTTCCATGAGTTTCCGTGACACGTGTTGAGCCAGCACAGTCTTTCCTGCACCGGGTTCTCCCACAACCCCGACCACGTGACCCTCTCGTCTCCCATTGGTCCGCTCCTTCAGCGTTTCCATGGTGATCTGTACCAGCACCACTACGGCGTCTACGTCATGGGGACGCTCCACCACAACGCCAGGCATGACGGGAAAGCTGGTGTTTCTCCCTTTCTTTTCACAGCAGGCACCTTTCATGAAAAGAGAGGAAGAATTTTGTTTTGTATTCCAACATGTAATCACAAGACGTTGTGACGCCACACTCAAGTTTTTTCAACATATATTAATGCCGCCACCAACACAGGGGACAGTACAATATACTCATTTGCACCTGAGCGAAGTGAGGAAAGTTGTGTAAAGTGCATTTCCCAAGGGCACAAGATCGGTAGCATTTCAGGACTCGAACCCGGGACCTCTTGGTTACGAGTCGAGCACTCTACCGCAACGCCAACGCCACACGACCCCACAAGGAAGACATTTGAGGGAGCATTCTCCTTGCTTTGTATTTACTGTCATAGATTGCACTTCTCCTAAACATCTTATTAGTGATGTGTATTTTTAACAACGAGGATTTTTGTGTCGAATTGGCGCACTTTTGAGAAATTTTCCTAGCACAAACTACTACCTTTATTATGCACACCTTACAGCGTGCGTAAAGGTACAGGCGAGTGAATTCTAAGAAATAGAGTTTTAATTTACGTATGCTTTACGGATTTGTGAAAGTAGAGAACAAATTTCTATTGGTGTTCTTTTCCCTCAATATCAAACCATTAAATTCATTTTTCCATTCATTCATTCATTCATTTTTCCTATCAATGTTTCCATTGTTCTGAACATAAATGCTGCGTTACTTGTTTTATATCAATACACTGATAATAAATTTGTTTTATTACTTGATTATGTATGTATGTATTATTTTTATGCATCCAGTAACACTTGAAAAACAGGCCACAGACCTGAGTGTGATCTACTTGCTAAATAAATTATGAATAAGGCCATGTTGATTTGATTATATGGATGGCATACTCTGGGAACCCCAAAACTGATGCAAGCGTGCGAATAAAAAAAAGGTGCCTTCATTATGAAATCTAGGTACCGGTGTTCATGAAGGTTGAACAAATGACTAAACACACAGAGTAATATTTCATTGGCATGATGAATAATAGACTCTTCGTTTTCATTCCTCCACATTTTCTTCTTGTCCTTTTGCATGAATGTTGGCATTCCGCGACATAAGTATCGTTTTACGATATTTTTTCAATTTACGGTATATATTTGCTCATTTTGCAGCTGCTTTGTACGATTTACATTGTGGTCGAAACTTTTTTTTGGAAACGGACGAAAATCCATGCGTGCGCGGATGTCATCCATATAATCAAATCAACATGGCCTAAAATGAAAAAAATAAAAGACATTTAACATTCACCTGAATGTGAAGTTGAGAAGTTTAACTGTTCCCTGTGTAGAAACCTGTGTAACTTGTCCCAGAAGTCCACGTCGCTACGGTCCAGCACCACACCACCGGCTCCTTTCCTGAACTGAGCCGGGATCTCACAACCATCGAACCGCACGGCCACCATGGTCCTCCCCGACGCGATAGCGTGGTCCAGCTCTTTCTGACACGGTCCGTCCGCCAAATACGCCGCCGACAACACCACCACAATCCGGGCGCTGATCCTAGCGGAATCCACGAAGTTCTGCAGCCTGGGCTTGGCGGATTCGTAGTCTCTGTCCCGGAGACATAGCACGAGGTTGTTGTCCCGTTCCAGCTCCGAGGCGAGGGTGTAGAGCACCCAGGGACGGTTCCTGTCACAGTAGGACAGTAGGATGTCATACAGGTAGTCCGCGGTGTCGTCTGCGGGCCGCTGACAGACTGGGCGGGAACACCGAAGAATTGGAAAACAGACGAAAGATGTCCAGACTATACATGATGTAAAAAGGAGTTAGCCGGCCATACAGGGGGTCCAATTTACCTGCACGTTGGCCTGGGTGCCAGACTATTTCCAAGGCTCACACGTAGAGCATTTCCCCGGCTCCAGGGCCAACATGCGCCCAAAGAAATGATATCACAGCCCGACACAGTCACAGGCCCTTATTCATAATGATGATATGGCTAGTATAACTCTATGAGTCTGGCATCCAGGCTACCTGTATGCTCCCCTGGCCAGTTACATTCCCTTTTTAGGCCGATTTCTACTATTTGATAAGCATGCGAAAGTGTCTGGTGAAGACTAGTGAACATTGCTTGGTAGCGAACTACCAGAATGTGACAGGCATGCTTTCCAAGCAGAGGTTTGGATTTTGGCTTATTTTTTAGTCTGTTTTAGTCTTTTTATCGGACTTTCTTCTTTGTTGGGTTGCGTAAAAAAAGATACCAATGCAAAAAAAGACCGACAAACAAGCTTAAAAAACACCAAAAATAAGCTAAACTCAAACCTCTGCTTGGAGAGTACCCAGTAATAAAAACGGTTGGTCCCTCAGGCATTCCACGAGTCTGACACGGTTTGTGATAGCGGTACGGCTGACCCCGTGCCGATGACTGGTCCTTTGTTCTTCCCGCCAGATCCATACCCAATACCGCGTTACCATCACACACGAAACCGTACAGGAAATACACCACTATCATTGTTCAATCTCAACAACGACACACAAAACAATACATATCCTTTGTACGAAAATTTACCTTCGTATGAGCCACTTGTATGTGGGAGATTTTGGCGTAATATGTCGTCAAAAATTCATGAAGACTTAGTAACATTAAAGATACATTCGTGAAAGGGTCCTATATTTTAGAAACCTTTATACAACTTAGTCTCCGTAGCAGGCTTATAGAACTGGGGGCTTGGTGGTCTTCGGCTGTTTTCTGATTAGCCCCAAAAACGGGGGTAATTCAACCAGGCCGGCTATGTTGTCTACATGCAATCAGAAAATAGCACATAAAAGCTCCCAATGACCATGAAGACCCCCCAAACCCCCAGTTTTTGGCATGCTATGGAGGCTACTATATACAGCTATCGTTGGAAGCATGTACAACATGTATAGCCTATACAAACGTCTGTTGGCGAGGCACCATTCAAAATTGGGCAGTGTATCGTACCCGTTGTGAATCCAGGTTAATGATTTAAACATTAGCGGCACGTTTCATAAACAAACTGTACATTTCATAGACTAGCAGGGATCACAGTTTCTCACCTGAGTCATGTCTGGCCTTCTCCATAGCTGACTGAAGACCCCGGGGACGCCAGTTCAGGTAAGCGGGGAACCAGACCGTCTCCCCCCGGTCCTAAACCGCCCGCTCCCCGGTCCGATAACCAGGTGTGTACTGTTATTACCTGTTCACTCCCTCAGGCACGCCAAGTTGAAAGGTTGGAGTTCGTTTGTTTTCTTTTGTTCCACCTTGTTACCCCAGGTGTAACGTTCCACCTGTCACGTGATCCCAGGTGTTTTTGTGATAAAAAGAGGGGGTCTTCGGATATCCAGGTCAACATACATTTCCTTTGTGTCCCAAGTGAGTTCCTAACGTACTACTCAATCCTCTTTTAAAATTCCTTGTCCGTTGGGACCTATACTCACGCAAGCAACGCATAAAACAACGCCGCCATGTATAAGGCCACAGCAAGTAAATTTTATGGATGACATCCTACGCAGACTCCAAATCTAATGCGAGCGGGCGAAAAAAAACAAGGTGGGCCGAAAAAAACAAGGTTCCTACATTTTAAAATTTTGACTCAATCATTGTACAAATGGTTTTGATTCAGTATACGTAGGAACATCACATACATGTATACACAGCCGCCATCACATATCACTGCATCAAAGTAAGAAACAAACCATTAAATCAGAGCCTTTTCTTGTCTCCTCTCTTCATATTTATCTGCCATCCACCTTCCGGCATGGCAGCAGACATCTTTGCCCATTTCCGGCATGTTGACCACAGAAGTCAACAAATTTTTTTTCCCCCCAAAAAAATCAGGCGAAAATTAATGCGCGCGCTGATGTCATCCATAAAAATTACTTGCTGTGGCCTATAAACCAACGCCGCCATATTTAATACATATAAAACACGTCACTCCCTAGGCATGTCATCACTATAAGCTACCAGGCGGTCACCAAAATATAATCATACGCCGGAATATTATTCAAAATATAACTATACCAGACTTTATCAATATTTTAGCACCTCTGCAAATCGATATCCACACGCTTTTTGTCTTCGGAAATCTTTTTTTTCTGGGTGGTTCTATTTGTGTTATAGGGTGGTGTGATGATGAGGTCATTATTGATAGATGAGTGATCAATGATTCACGCACTAGTGCATAGCGATCGGCCGTGGGTGTCGTAGATTGAGTCATCTCATCACAACTATGAAAGAGGTGCTAGTGTCACGGAAATGAAAAGAAACCTACAGTGGACCTCACTGGAAGACAGAAGAAAGATGTCCAGACTATGCATGATGTACAAAATGACTAATAAACTGGTGGATGTCCCAACTACTAAGTACCTAATACCAGCCCAGAAGAGAATAAGAAATAGCCATGCCTTCAAGTACCAGAGTTATCAACCAAGGATTGAGGTGTTCAAGAATTCATTCTTTCCTAGAACTATTGCAGAGTGGAACTCACTGTCACCAAGTACAGTAGGGGCATTGTCAATAGATAGCTTTAAACAATGTCTTGAGCTAGAAGTTCAAGGGTTAGGTGTAACAAGTCGATCGGTGTAATATAGCCAGCTGCCGCCGCGCCGCGTGCCTGCGAAGCTGGTGTGTTACGCCGAAAGGCGGTTATACCGGCTATACTGATACAGATCTCCAAGCAGCAAAAAAAATTGGCTGCAAGACAGCTTCAAATTGGCAGGGCAGTGTATCAATTTGCTACTTCTGGACTTGCCTAAAACAAAGACAAAGAATTTTTCGAAAGCCCGAAAAAAACACACGTCAAAATAAGCCTAAAACTCTGCTTGGATAATCTCCAAGCAGATCTTTCGGTGGACGCAATGACAGTATCAAATTGGCCCGGCAGTATCCATTGGGCACTGACAGTATTCGATCGTTTGCCAATGGATACTGCCTGGCCAACTTTTGATACTGTCTTTGCGGCCACCGAAATATCTGTTTTGAGATTAGGCCATGTTGATTTGATTACATTGATGACATTCTCTGGGAACCCCAAAACTGATGCGAGCGTGCGAATAAAAAAAAAAGATTTGAAAAAAAAGTTGCTTTCATTATGAAATCTACGTGGTCATGAAGATTGAACAAATGACACAGAGTATGGTTTGGCGAATATCTAGTCTTCACATTCATTTTCGTCTTTTTCGTTTGATTTTTGTATTCTACGACATTGGTATCGTTTTCAAATATTTCTTTTGAAACTTACGGTATATATTTGCTCATTTTGCAACTGTTTTGTACGATTTACAGTATGGTTGAAAACTTTTTTTGGAAACGGCCGAAAATTCATGCGCACGCAGGTGTCATCCATATAATCAAATCAACATGGCCTTACAGTATACGTATAGGCGATACCTGAGAAACCAAAGTTATATCAAACAATTCGCAATAAGTGGGGCCTAGAACCTTTTTGACTTTATAAACTATTGACGGTATTTGTTTAAGGGTTCAATGTCAGTCATGATCAACCTTTAGAATTCTGCATGTGATTATTTGTTTAAGCGTTGACATAACATACAGGCATGCTTTGGTATGTAGAGTGAAAAAGAATAATGCTGGAAAGAGTTTTGGTGGTGGGTGACAGTCTGTTTATGTATTAGGGTTTCTCCACATTGTTATAGCAAGAGATTGTATTATGGTATCAGGAGCAATTGTACTACATTTTGTAGATAAAAGGGATATAAAGTACTATATTAGAATCCTTCCATAACTATTAGGCCACACCAAGTTATTCGTGGTCGAAACCACCGTTTTGGAAACGGACAAAAGTTCATGCGCGCTGATGCCATCCGAATAATCAAATCAACATGGCCTAAACAAATAAACAATTGAGGTTTTTTTAGGAGGTTTATTGGGGAAAAACAAGCTGCCACGACCCGGAGCCGTGTACATGTATCTATCCCCGCCAGGTTCGTCTCCCAGTAGAAGTCGGCATCCTCCTCCCTACTGCTGTAGCGCCCGCCATCTTCTGGATAAGGTGACGGACTCTCTCCTTGGACGGGACCCTCCTGCCTCCACCCGGGCGGAACACAGGACCAGCCCGGGGCACGTGGTTCACCTTTTCACTGGTCTCCTGTACATGGTAAAACACAAATAAACAAATTTGTGGGGTCGTGTGGCGTAGCGGCAGAGTGCTCGACTCGGAATCAAGCGGTCCCGGGTTCGAGTCCTGACACTGCCACCGATCTTGTGCCCTTGGGAAAGGCACTTTACACGGCTTTCCTCAAGTTAACTCAAGGGAAAATGAGTATTGTCCTGTCCTATACCCGTCCTCTGTGTTGGTGGCGGCATAAAGTAAGTTGATATAACTTGAATGTGCGGTCACCATGTCTAGTAATGAAATGTTGGAATATTAAAAAAATAAATACCTCTGGTGCAAGCCCTCATTATGTTTACGGAAGGAAAACATATTGTTTTTGCTCAGTTTGCTCTCCTCCAAACACAAAAGGTCAATGACCTGAACCAGACAGTCTATCACCATGGTAACTGGTGTTGGGTTACATCATGTTGCAATGGACCTACTGCATTGTTACGTCACAGTTTTTTACCGCAATGAATGCCGGTCAATCGACGTTTATATTGTACAGGGGTGCGTAGCGCGGTGTGTGTTTATGTAGCGGGAGCCTTAATATAAGGCCAATACTACTTTCGTCTACTCAACTAAATCACCCATTACAGCATGTAACGCTGTGTCAACAAAAGTAGACCCAGCAAAAATGATATGCATCCACACTTGACTTTGAAAACCTGAAATTATCTTTATTCTTTCACTGACCGTTCTAGAATGTTCTTTAGAACATGTAAACAAACTGTGACGTAATAGTGCAATAGCAAGAGGGAGATGGTTGTGTAAAAAGAGTCTCTTTACACTATATGAACAAGTTGTCTTATAAAAGATAGACGTAAGATAGACAGGGGTATCATCTCCCCACACTGCACAGTCACCTTACCTTGGCACCCTCTTTATGCGCCTCTCCCACTGCGCATGCGCCACGCTGGACGACGATGGGTAGGTTCTTGGTCTCCTCCAGTAGGTCACAGTGGAGCCCGACTGCGCATGGGCAGTCAAAGCCGCGCTGGATGGTGATCGGTCGGCAGAAGCGTCCCTCGGTGAGCAGGGGCAGACAGCGGCCCAGGCGCTGAGGACAGCACTCCCCGGCACCGCAGTCTGTAGCCGACTTACACAGGACTCCGGCCCGACGGTTACGGGCTAGGCGTGGCAACTTCGAGTTGGCCTGCAGTGTGTATGATATAATGACAAGAAAGGTAACATTTGCAAGGCATAATGTTTACCCTGGCATATGGTCTGCTCTGTTAATTTGTACTCAAACACGTTCAGATATATATCCCCCCCCTCATATATATGGTCAGACAGGAGTTTAAATCCCTCCTGCTATAAAATTGCAACATGATGTAACCCAACACTAGTTACCATGGTCACAGACACAACGCTGGGACGGTAAACATTATAATTGTATGATTCTTGGTGGCTTGATCTACTCAGTAAGGCCACAGCAAGTAATTTTTTATGGATGACATCAGCGCGCGCAATAGTTTTCGCTTGGTTTTGCATTTGGAAAAAGAAAAACAAGAGATTTTGTTGCCCTCTGACAGTGGTAAACATGCCGAAAATAGGCGAAGATGTCTGTTGCCATGCCGGAAGGTGGATGGCAGATAAATATGAAAGAGAGGAGACAAGACAAGGCTCTGATTTAATGTTTTGTCTTTTTCTTTGATGTAGTGATGTATTTCATTCCCTTTATATTTGATGTTCCCACTCCAAACCATTTGTACAATGATTCAAAACTTCAAAACTTAATAGTTGGCGATAAACTTAGCACAATATAGGTATCATTTCTCGTTTAAGAAGATTTATGATGTCAAAAAATGTAGGAATTTTTTTAAACCCGCCTTGTTTTGTTCGCCCTATCGCATTAGATTTGGAGTTGGAAGATGTCATCCATAAAATTTACTTGCTGTGGCCTAACTAAGCATTTTCGAACGTCATTCGGTTGTAGAACTGAATTTCGAAGATGCATGTCTCTCAACGCGTATCAACTTCAGTACGTATTTTACTTTATATATCCACATGTACTAACCTGTGCGCCTGGAAGAGTTGTCCCCATGACAAGGAGTACAAGTCCCACTACCAGGAAAGCACGGAACGACAAGACCATTATTAGTTCCTCTTCTTCTCTGCGGTTTGTATGGGAGAATGTACAACCCGCGACGATGTTTTTTGAAAATGGACGCCGGCCCGTATCCTAGCAACCAGAGATCGAACTCATTATTCTCGAACTTCTTTCTATTCTGGCACGTCAGCAGAACGTACTGCGCCTGCGCGAAACCCTCATTTTCACGGTTTCGTTGGATGTTTGTCAACGTTGCATCAGAATTTTGCCTGTTACAAAAGATATCTTTTCTGACATAACATTTGGAAACTATTCCAGGCGCTAGTGTGTTACGCCCAAAGGCGGTTATACTGGCTATACAGATATAGAGACGTTCTGCCGAAGTGATGTCGAGTGTAGGAATCAGTCTTGTAGCTTTTCACTGTAACGTTACAAGTTTTCCAAGTCAAGTTACCTCACGGTCTTGGAGTGTGGACCCCAGCATGATCAAATTGCCATGTTCCAAGGAGCTTTAAATTTTGAAAAAAAATTTGATAGTTGTAACCTCCTTGCATATTCTAAATGTGATCTGATCATCGTCTAAAGAGGGTATGATTAGTTAGTTTTTCCTCGTGTAAGTTGGCGAACTTCAGTGACTTCACTACATCATGGGTTGTTGCAACAGTATTTCTTGTATTGAATAAACTGCGAAGTGCCTTAAAAATACACGTGTTTTTCGTATACATGTTTCGGATACATACACATTAACATGATTGGGTGATGATTAAAATGGTGTTTTCTGTGGTGTTTATTTACAATATTTCTCCCGTGTTATTTGTTTAATCGTTGACACAGCATGGAGGTACACTTTGTTAGAATGCGTCAGTGCGGATCGACAAAATGTACGTTGTCATACATAGCGACTAGATGATTGTGCCAGTAAAGATGTCATTCAGTTACTTAGTAGGCTATAGCGCTAGTGCTAGTTTGATCATGAGTATGCATAAATGACGTATATATAAGCTATTCATTTATTTTGACCGGTACTTAACCAGGTGGATGTGCATGTACAATAAAAAGGTCGTCATTCATCCATCCATCCGTCCATTCATTCATTCATATATTCATAAATTCATTCATCCATCCATCCATTCATTCATATATTCATATATTCATAAATTCATCCATCCATTCGTTCATTCATTCGTTCATATTCAATTCAATTTCAATTCTATTAAGAATAGTCCTTTCATTCAATCATTCAGTTACGGACCAGAGAGTTTTTGCTTGTGGTTGACAGTTTGTTTATTTATTAGGATTTTCCACATGGTTCTGACAAGACGTTGTAGTATGGTCTCAGGAACAACAGTATTGTAGATGAAAGCTTTCTTTGTTTATTCTATGTGAATGGCCATATGAGAAACTTTCTATAACTGTTACAGTAAAACATTTCAAACTTCCCACACCAAGAAGATGAAACTAGATTTTGCTTCACTATTTCATGCCCTACTTTGAATATCTTTACACATGGTTGTTTTTGTATTGTTACGTTGTACAGTTGTTGTTGTTTGTGGGAGGGAGGGCAACAAGTAAACTTGCGTATGCACCTGTTTTGCTCTCATTTCCACGTTGTGATAAGGCCATGTTAATTTGATTATATGGATGACATCATCTGGGAACCCCAAAACTCACGCGAGCGTGCGAATGAAAAAAACTTTGGCAAAAAAAAAATTGCCTTTATTATGAAATCTACTGTGGTCATGGAGGTTGAATAAATGACAAAAGAACTACTTGTAAAAAAGCATGGTATGGCGAATAATAGACTCTTCATTTTCATTTCTTTACATTTTCTCTTATCCTTTGGAATTGATTTTGGCATTTTACAACTTTAGTATCGTTTGCCAATATTTTTTGTGCAATTTACGGCACATATCTACTCATTTTGCAGCTGCTTTCTACAATTTACCGTATGGTCGAAAAGTTTTTTTTGGGGGGGGGGGGAGACGGACAAAAATTAATGCGCGCGTGGATGTCATCTATATAATCAAATCAACATGGCCTTAACAAATAAACAAGCTATCATGAAAGTTCATCTGTGTTGGTAGTAATCATAGTAAAACGTTGAACTTTATTCCAACACACAGTTTACAGAGAGATCAAATTTTCAGCGACCACTGTCGCCTTCATCAGGA